TCAGAGATTTGGAGGAGAGGAGTTGTGCATAAAGTACATCTCTGTACGCAGATGATCTCCTGGTCTTCCTGCAAAAACCTAGTGGATCTATACCTTCTGTGTTGTCAATTATCATTCAATTTGGCCAGGACACATTTGGAACTTACATAAAAGTGAACTCTTCTGGCTAAATGGAGGAGAGTCCGGGTCAGGATACTCAAACTTCCCATTTAAAATAGCAGAAAACCAATTCACATATCTGGGCAAAACTGTTACAAGGAAGTACAAATTTTCTTACTTCACTAAATAATACAAAACAGTTTCTGACACAGTGGTCCCCCCTCAGCTAAAACTCAGTTAAAATGAACGCTCTTATTCAATTAGCAATACCAGCTAATTGTTCCACCTGGTGTGGAAATATTTAGCAAATCTTCAGGCCCTGAGCCTAAGTTCCATCGCTACTCTTTAAGTTTCAACAAGGATGGGATTCTCTCTCTCTCTCTCTCTCTCTCTCTCTGTTTAAATATATAATTTATTTATGTATGTGGATCGTCATTTATTTATTCGTATATATTCTATATAATTCTATACATTCTATTCTTATTGTATATTAATTATTCTACATATATATTTCTCTTTTTATGTAATCTGGCTTGAGGATGGGGTTAAGTTTTGGGAAAGTTGTGGAGCATAGAATTGCACACTTTACCTCAACTATGTTACCTCAACAATAATCAAGTCTAGTTTTGTTCATTCTTAGAATTGAAGACCACTTTGCATTCAATGCTTTTTTGGATTGTTTTCTTTTTTTTCCCTTCACAAGCTCTTCAATGTTGTCTTTTCTATTGTGTTTGTTATAAATGTGTGCAAATATTCTGTTTGGTTAAACTTGATAAAAATATCTTTGAGAAAAAAAGTTTTTGATATTCGCTAAGAGGCACAGTGATGACACGTTTGTGACCGAAAGAAGTGCCTGAGTGTTTTTGCCAGTGTCTGCGTGTGCAAGTCTGGCCCTCAGGTAATCTGTCATTGCAATGTTTTACAGGGTGGATTGGATGTTGCTGTACCAGGGCATGGTTGTACTAGCTGCTAACCAAGTTTGGTGGACCTGGGAGTTAGAGGATGTCTTTAAAAATGTGAAGAAAGGAAAGAAGCATGCACTTAAGAACTATGCTGAGAAAATGCACAAACAGATTGATGAGCTGGTGTCACGCATTATTCAGCCTTTGAAGAAAAATGACAGACGAAAGCTCAACACTGTGCTCATCATTGATGTCCACGCAAGAGACATAGTGGACAGCTTTGTGCTAAAAAGGTAAACTTGACTTTTGCAAGTTTGAACATTTGTTTGTGGCAGTGTGTTTTAAATAGTGAACATAATAAAAGAACGACATTTAAAGTTCAGTTTCCTTCCAGCATAATGGATGCACAAGAATTTGAATGGGAAAGCCAGCTGAGATTTTACTGGGTCCGGAAAGATGACAACTTATTTGTGCGCCAGTGCAGTGCATCTTTCTCCTATGGCTACGAATACATGGGGTTGAATGGGCGGTTGGTTATAACCCCACTGACAGACCGGATCTACCTCACTCTCACACAGGTCTGGGATATAAGCAAATTTTTAATACCTAAGCATGTACATTTTTTCGACTAAAACATGCCTGTCCATGTGTATTTGGGATGAAGGCACTGTCCATGTACTTGGGTGGAGCTCCTGCTGGACCTGCTGGTACAGGAAAGACAGAGTCCACCAAGGATCTGGCTAAGGCTTTGGGCCTGCTCTGTGTTGTTACAAACTGTGGTGAGGGCATGGACTACTTGGTAAGAAGAGCAAAGAGCATCTGAAAAAAAGCTTTTCTGGGATTTAAAAAAGTGCAGTCATCCCTTGTCATCACTCTAGCTTTTTACGTGAATGTCCTCTCCCTTTGTGTCCAGGCAGTGGGCAAGATCTTGTCTGGCCTTGCACAGTGCGGAGCTTGGGGCTGCTTTGATGAGTTCAATCGTATCGATGCCTCAGTGTTGTCAGTGATCTCCTCCCAAATCCAGACTATCCGCAATGCTCTCATTCTACACCTTAACAGGTTTCATGTAAGTCTGTTTAGTTATGTGGGACCAGTAATAAATATATATTTTTCATGTATTACACCTAAACACCTTCCATCTCCCTATACGCATCAGTTTGAAGGGCAAGAGATCAACTTGGATGACCGCATAGGAATTTTCATCACTATGAACCCTGGTTACGCAGGACGTACAGAGCTGCCTGAATCCATCAAAGCTCTCTTCAGGCCTGTGGTGGTCATTGTGCCGGACCTGCAGCAGATTTGCGAGATTATGCTCTTCTCTGAGGGTTTCCTAATGGCCAAGGTACCACATGCACCCATGAACTTGCATTTGATTTCATTTGCACATGCTGTCACCTGTACTGCAAGAAATGCATCATAAACTATGTACACGCACAGGTTATATTGTATTACTTTATATTGGTAAATAGTACAAAAAATGCATATGAAAATAGATAACTTGGAGATTTTATGGCATCTTTAACTTTTGACTGATAATAGTGTTATTAATGTGTCTCTACTTCTGTTCTTTTCAGGTGCTGGCAAAGAAAATGACCGTACTGTATAAGCTGGCTCGTGAACAGCTGTCCAAGCAGTCTCATTATGACTTCGGCCTGCGCGCTCTCAAGTCTGTCCTAGTGATGGCAGGAGAGCTGAAGAGAAGCTCACCTGAGCTGAGCGAGGTACAGAAAAATAACAAATAAAACTTTTTCTTTTTCTTTTTTTTTTAAATTGACAGAAAACTAAGTTGCTATTTGTGACTTCTCAGGTAAAAGTTGAAGGTTGATTTATCCTAGGAATATGTTGGACATTTGTAAAGGTTACCAAATGCTCGATTTGTCCTGTATCATCAAAAATTTCTTTTTTTAAGATGACACAGAGAATGTAAGATAGAGGTGCAAATCTTATATTTGTTTATCAATAGTTTAACTCTTATTATTTTACACAAAAGTTGGATCTGTTATTTGTACTGAAAACTGTCCTTCATTAAACTATTGTTACATAGCCCCCATGTTCAAAAAATACTTGTGTGCAACAATTTTATAGGTTCATTTTTTATTTTTTCAGTATTTTCAATACTGAAATATTATGAAGTTGATGTATAAATGCATAAATTCTTTTTCATTCATTCCGTCATTCAGTTCATGTATTTATGTCTATCCCTCTGACAACAGGATGTGGTGTTGATGCGGGCTCTCAGGGACATGAACCTACCCAAGTTTGTGTTTGAGGATGTCCCTCTGTTCCTCGGGCTGATCTCAGACCTGTTCCCTGGGCTTGATTGCCCCCGTGTTCGCTATCCCAACTTCAATGATGCTGTGGAACAGACCCTGGAGGACAAAAAATATGTCATACTACCCAACCAGGTGCAGAGTCTCATATTTGATGTTGTCTATCAATTTCTAGCAACGTTTTGCTGTTTAAATGTGTCAACAGTACACTGTTGTATCCATCTGTTGTTTCAGGTGGATAAAGTGGTGCAGATGTATGAGACAATGATGACACGGCACACTACAATGATTGTGGGTCCAACAGGTGGAGGAAAATCAGTGGTGATCAACACATTATGTCAAGCTCAGACAAAGTCAGTTTAACTTTACATTGTCTCTCTGATCTTTTGTGTGAACAGTAGTAACTTTTAATCTATCTCACCATCAGAATGGGACTGCAAACCAAACTGTATCCTCTGAACCCTAAAGCCATGAGCGTGATTGAACTTTATGGTATTCTGGACCCAGACACTCGAGACTGGACTGATGGGATTTTATCCAACATCTTCCGTGAAATTAACAAGCCTACTGACAAAAAAGACAGGAGGTAGAAAATATTTTAGAAGGCATGTAATCATCCATTTAGGATAACAAGAAATCGTTTCTGTAAATCACCTGCTCTTTGACAAACAGGTACATCCTGTTTGATGGGGATGTGGATGCTCTGTGGGTCGAAAATATGAACTCAGTGATGGATGACAACAAGCTTCTGACTCTAGCCAATGGAGAAAGGATCCGTTTACAAAATCACTGTGCTCTGCTGTTTGAGGTTTGTCTGAATTTCAAGATTTCTGTTAGTAGAATACAATTGCCTGGATTTTGCCTCAAAGAAAGCTTAATGTAAGAAAACTACCCACACAGGTTGGAGATCTGCAGTATGCTTCCCCAGCTACTGTTTCCCGCTGTGGAATGGTATTTGTTGATCCTAAAAACCTGCGATATACCCCATTCTGGCAAAGATGGGTGAACAGCAGACCTGATAAGGTTTGAGAAACAAAATCACTGTTTAAAATGCATACTTTTCTAGACTTATAAATACTGTTGTCTCTTTTTTTTGTCTAGGAACAAGAAGTGCTTAATAGTCTGTTTGAGAAATATGTCCACAGCTCTATTGACATGATTGTGGATGGTGTTGTTGATGGGAAACAAGGAGAGAAACTTAAGACTGTTGTTCCCCAGACAGATCTGAATATGGTAGGTTAATCTCATCCACTGTAAATGCTCCTTTGCACTTGATTGTATTTAAATAAGAAGAAATGAATGGAATTAATGGTATAGTCTCATAACCTGAACTTGAACTAACTATGCATGATATGTGTGTTTAGGTCACTCAGTTGTGCTTAACACTGGATGCACTTCTTGAGAGTGAAAACAGCACTCCCGAAGTCCTGGAGTGTTACTTTCTGGAAGCTCTGTACTGTTCACTTGGGGCTACATTGCTGGAGAGTGGTAGGATCCAGTTTGATGAGTTCATCAAAAAGCTGTCCTGCCTACCTACAGTTCATGATGAGAAAGCCCGGGCTGCGCCTGGTGAGATCCCAGGTAAAAGGGGAGGATTTCTTCTTATTTTATGGTGAAAATTACCATTCATTCTCTTGGGTTTATAGTGGATTGATTAATGATTTATGGAGAAAAAAAGAACTATGATAAACCTTTTTCACAGGTATTTGTGCCAGTTTTTAAACTGTTTTACTTAATATTGTTAACGAAGTGACTTCATCCATATAGGATACCTCCCAACCTTGTATGATTTTCACTTTGATGGAACACAGGGGAAGTGGGTTCCCTGGAATTCTCTGGTCCCCAAATACATCCACAACCCTGAAATGAAGTTCATTGATATCTTAGGTAAAGGTCTTGTCTGTAAACAGTGAAAACTGGGCAACATAGGTGTAAATACATGCATCATGAATTATACATTTCTGCCTTGGTACCTTCATTCTCTCTTTAGTGCCAACTATTGACACAACAAGAACCAGTTGGATCCTGGAGCAGATGGTGAAGATAAAGAGGCCGCTGTTACTGGTTGGAGAGTCTGGCACTTCCAAGACTGCCACTATTCATAACTTTATGAAGAATATTAATGCAGAAACAAGTGTAAGTTGTACATCTTACTGTACACACAGTATGTACATATAGTTCTTTGTCATATGGGTTTAAATGTCTTTCTTTCTGTTCCCAGAGTACTCTTGTCATCAACTTCTCCTCTAGAACAACATCATTGGATCTGCAGAGAAACCTCGAAGCCAATGTGGAGAAAAGGACTAAAGAGACCTATGGACCTCCCATGGGGAAGAGACTCCTGATCTTTATGGATGACATGAATATGCCAAAGGTACCTGTTTTAAGTGGACTTTTATTCTTTAAAGTGCAATAGTGCTCACATGTTTGAAATGACTGTAATACACTTGTGCAGGTGGATAACTATGGCACACAGCAGCCTATTGCGCTTCTAAAGCTGCTTTTGGATCGAGGAGGAATATATGACAGAGGAAAGGAGCTTAACTTCAAAATCCTCAAGGATCTTGGCTTTATTGCTGCCATGGGAATGGCAGGAGGTGGGCGAAACGAGGTGGATCCTCGCTTCATCTCACTCTTCAGTGTCTTTAGCGTCCCCTTCCCTACAATGGAGTCCCTCCACCTTATCTACGGTTCTATTTTAAAAGGCCACACCAGGGTGAGTACCTCTTTCACATATAAATCATAGTGAAATCTCAACCATCTGCATCACTTTAATTTTCCAATTTGTACGTGATAAAATATTTTAGCTGTTTGAGGACACCATACAGAAAGTTTGTGATCAGGTCACGTCCTGCACACTGGAGCTCTACAACACCATCATCAAAGATATGCCACCCACTCCCTCCAAATTCCACTACATCTTCAACCTGAGAGACCTGTCAAGAGTGTACAATGGACTCACCCTCACCAAACCGGACAGGTCTAATCTAGCATATTCACTCTTGTGACAGACTGACAGAGGTCTGTGACCCTAAATGTCTTTCCTTTCTCTGTCTTACAGGTTTTTGACTGTAGCCCAGTTTGTACGTGTGTGGAGAAATGAGTGCTTGAGAATCTTCCATGACAGACTCATTGATGAAACTGACAAAGCTTTGGTAATATTTACTAATAATATTAGCAGATGTTTAATGTGAATTCTCCTTTTTAATGACTAAAGGCAAAACTGTCTTTCTCCTGTCTTCCTCCACTAACCCCCAACAGGTCGTGGCAGACCTCTCCATAAGACTGGTTCTGCTTGAGGTTTCTTCCTGTTAAAAGGGAGTTTTTTCCTTCCAAATGTTGCAAAAACACTTGCTCAAAATGGATCATGGATATTATTGTTGGGTTTTCCTCTGTTTTCTTTGTGTTATTGTAGGAGCTTTAGCTTACACTATATAGCGCCTTGAGGCAACTTTTGTTGTGATTTTGCACTATATAAATAAAATTTGTTAAACTGAATACTAAGTGGGTAATTGGTTCCATGTTGGATGTAACAATAAGACTCAAAATCTACTGATAGATACTGATACTGAAGATGTGTGTTTTTTTTTCCCCAAGGTCCAAAGGCACATAAACAACATGACTGAGGAGCATTTCAAGTCAGACATGGAGGCAGTTATGAGAGACCCAATTCTTTTTGGAGACTATAGGACAGCCCTCAGTGATACTGAACCAAGGGTGTATGAGGACATACAAGACTATGATGCTTCAAAAGCCCTGTTTCAGGTAAAGTTATTACCCTAACCCAGGTGGTCATATGGTTAGGTTGATTTATTTATTTGTATGTTTGTTATCAGAGTTACTCCGAAAGTATAAATGAGTTTGCGTGAACATTTTAGCAGAGGTGTGGCTTGGGCTAGGAGATATTTCTGTAAGGATTGTCTGCTAATGTGAGCTAGGGCAATATTTAGTTTTCACGTTGTATCTTATACATACCAGGTTAAACAAATCTTGATGTTTTCAAGAAAATATTACAAACTATTCTGTTGGAAAATGTTCATCTTGGTGGAGGTGTGGGGTCTCAGACAGAAAAGTGAAGTAATACTGCCGGTTTGATTCACTGGGACGAGCAGCCAACCACATGCTGCATGGTGGAGAGTGGCTGGCCCGCGTTCAAGTCCGAACTGTGGCCATTTGCTGCATTTCTCTCTCCCTCACTTTCCTGTCGCTCTTCTTTGTAACTGTCTTATAAAGTCAACAAAATAAAATAATGTAAGAGTATGTTTTGGCATTTTTATAGTTGTTATACTCTTTTAACAGATCACTGTGTTATGTAATTCTGCAGGAAATCTTAGAGGAATACAATGAGAGCAAATCGAGGATGAACCTAGTGCTCTTTGACGATGCTCTGGAACATCTGACCCGAGTTCACCGCATCATCCGTATTGATCGTGGCCATGCTCTGCTTGTTGGTGTGGGGGGCTCTGGCAAGCAGTCCCTTACCAAGCTGGCTGCCTTTGCTGCTGGCTGTGAGGTGGTAAAATTCATGATTGGTGTGGTGAAGGGCAAATGATTGTCACTAACAAGTGTCATATACACTAAAATTACATTTTAAGCAATGCAAATGAATTTTACTAACATGTCTTGGGATGTGAAAGCTGCAATCTTCTAACTGTAAGGCTACTACATGAGGGCTTTCAATGTCAAGCAGTGCTAAACCTTCTTCACAAATACATTTCCAGCTTTAGATTTTTGGATCTGCTTTCCCCAGGTATTTGAGATAACGCTGAGCAGAGGATACAGTGAGTCTAACCTCCGTGAAGACCTAAAAACTCTGTACTTGAAGCTTGGCATTGAGAATAAGAAGACCGTGTTTCTTTTTACTGATGCTCACGTTGCTGAGGAAGGCTTCTTGGAGCTCATTAACAACATGCTTACCTCAGGTTGGATATGACTTTAATCTCCTGACCTCCTCACTTTCTATTTATCTCTCTTAAAGGCTACAGCTGCAGTGCTCTCACCATGCATTCTATTTATAGGCATTGTTCCTGCATTGTTTCCCGATGATGAGAAAGAATCCATTCTCAACCAGCTTCGAGACGAAGCTCTTACAATGGGATCAGATCCCTCTAAAGAGAGTGTGTGGCAGTACTTTGTCAACAAGAGTGCCAACAATCTACACATTGTTTTAGGCATGTCTCCAGTGGGAGATACCCTGAGGACACGCTGCAGGAACTTCCCAGGTGAAATATTTGGTCAGGCTTCAATTGACTTAATATAGTTTATAAATTTGTTTTATTAACCCGATGTACTTCTTATTTCTCCCAGGACTGATGAACAACACTGTAATAGATTGGTTCCTTCCATGGCCTCCGCAGGCATTACTTGCAGTAGCTCAGTCTTTTCTTGGTGTGTAATTAAACTTACTTCTATTATATGTATTTGTCGTGGAAAATGTTTATTTTAAAACAGGTGTTTCAGTAAGACAGTTGAAATGTTATATTATTATTGTCCTTCCACAGGTGAAAGTCCGATGATACCAGATGCACACTCTGCAGCTGTTATAGATCATGTATGCATGGTCCACAGCTCTGTGGATCACTACAGCAAGCTATTCCAGCAAAAACTCAGACGCTGCAACCACGTAACTCCAATGAACTACTTGGACTTTATTAACACCTATTCCAAACTCTTAGAGGAAAAAGACCAATTTATTCTCGGTGAGGGAATGAAACCTGTTGTAAATGCAGGGCTTCTGTTGGAGTTAGTGTGCATTAGAGACCGTTAATGTGTCTTCTTCTGTTCTAGCTCAGTGCAAGCATCTGGAGGGAGGTTTGGATAAACTGAAGGAAGCCAGTGAACAGCTGGCTGAACTGAATGTGAAGCTGGCAGATCAGAAAGTTGTCCTGGCTGAAAAGTCCACGGCATGTGAAGCCCTGCTGGACGAGATTGCCGCCAACACAACAGTAGGTTAGTAAACACTTGCCTGCCGTATGGCCTTCATTAATACAGTATCTTGTAGTCTTAAAATGGAAATTAAGTGCTGTTAGTTCAAACCACTTATCAACAACTTTCTTTTCTAGCTGAGGAAAAAAAGGTTCTGGCAGAAGACAAAGCTAAAGAGATTGAGGAGCAAAATAAAGTCATAGCTGTTGAGAAGAAAGAAGCTGAGAGTTCCTTAGCTGAAGCTCTGCCAGCATTAGAGGCCGCACGTAATGCCCTGCAAGACCTGGAAAAATCTGATGTAACAGAGATCCGGTAAACTGTGCTCCTTATGAAGAACATTATTTTCATTCTGTTGTAGAAATACATTACATGTAAATTACATTTGGCTCTTGGATAACATAAACCATGAAAAGGAATACTGGACAGTGCAGAGCGGTTCATTTTCGAGAGACCTTAATGAGTCGTCATTGATGCACAGCCATTGCTTATCATGACAATTAAGTCCTCTTTTAATCAGTGTTTTCCCTTTATCTGCTTTTTCCTGTTGGTCCAATGTGAAGATCATTTGCCAAGCCACCCAAACAGGTGCAGGTGGTTTGCGAGTGCATCCTGGTGTTGCGTGGCAACAAAGAAATCAGTTGGCAGTCAGCAAAAGGGATGATGTCAGAAGCGAACTTCCTGCGCTCCCTGATGGAGATGGATTGTGATGCGATCACTAACAACCAGGTCAGGACAGTCAGGGGTAAGTTGAATTTATGTTGAGTACAAAAGTAAAAACAAGTAATGGTGCTACTATACTGTGCAAGAGAGTGCTAATTGAATTTGACAGATGCTCCACTTTTTGTTTTCTTCTCTTTCTGGCTAGGCTATCTAAAGAACCTCCACACAAGCTTTGAGGAAATGCAGGCCATCAGTAAGGCCGGCTCAGGAATGCTCAAGTTTGTCGAGGCAATCATGGGTTACTGTGATGTTGCTAGGGAGATAAAACCCAAAAGAGAAAAGGTTATTAAGTGTATTAAATCGCCATTGAATCTTCCTGTTTTGAACGAAACACAGCTTAAACTGATGTATTGCCTTCTTATTTTCAGGTGGCTCGCCTAGAGAGGAACTTCTTTCAGAGTAAGCGGGAGCTGGAGTGCATTCAGAGTGAGCTCAGCAACATACAGAAAGAATTGCAGACTCTTAGTGAGAAATACCAAGCTGCTATTTGCGAGAAGCAGCAGTTGCAGGAGGAGGCTGAGGTGATGGAGAGGAGATTGATAGCTGCTGACAAACTCATCTCTGGGCTGAGCTCTGAGAATAAACGGTGAGGTTGAAAAACATGCAACACTTACTAACCAACCCTTTAACAGGTTGATTTTTAATTTTAAACCCCCTGTTTTTTCTTTTTTCTTTTCCACTCCTGTCTCTACCAATTATTTTTCACCCCTTCTACATACTCCCAACTTAGGTGGACAAATGATTTGGAGGGATTGAAGCAGCGGCGTGTGCGTCTCCTGGGTGACTGTTTGCTTGCTGCTGCATTTCTGAGCTATGAAGGGGCATTCAGCTGGGACTTCAGGAATGAGATGGTATACCAAAAGTGGGTTAAAGATGTGCAGGAGAGAGGCATCCCCTTGAGCCAGCCTTTCAAAGTAGAAAACCTTCTTACTGATGAGGTCGAAATCAGCAGGTGAAGTTGTTGCATAACTTGCTAATAAATGCTGTAGAATCTGACTTTTCTCTATCAAATAATGACAATTAGTATGCTAATTAATGGCCTAACTATGTGTCTACCCTGTGTTAGATGGGGCTCAGAGGGTTTGCCTCCAGATGAATTGTCCGTGCAGAACGGGATTCTCACAACCAGAGGGAGTCGATTTCCCATGTGTATTGACCCCCAGCAACAAGCCCTCAACTGGATTAAGAAGAAGGAAGAAAACAATAATCTCAAGGTACGGAAAGATTTAATGCTCATTGATGTTCTGGGATGACTGCTTTATGCAGCCTCCCATTACTGACAGCCCCTGTATCACCAGATTCGACAAACAGAGGTTTATGACATGCAGACCTGATAGTGTGATCATCAATTTTGTCCCAGGTCTCATCTTTCAATGATCCTGACTTCCTGAAACAACTAGAGATGGCCATCAAGTACGGGTTCCCATTCCTTTTCCAAGATGTGGATGAATACATCGACCCAGTGATTGACAATGTCCTGGAGAAGAATGTGAAAGGAGCAGAGGGAAGACAGGTCATCATGTTGGGTGACAAAGAGGTCGACTACGATCCCAATTTTAAACTCTACCTCAACACTAATTTAGCTAACCCCAAATACTCTCCATCTGTGTTTGGAAAAGCCATGGTCATTAACTATACTGGTAAGATGTTTTTGCGTACCGGTCAGATTTCATCTGTATCCTTAAACCACAGGGTCTAAATTGCATGTTTGCTTCTGCCCCATCTTTTTGCATCTTTGTTACGTACAGTGACCCTTAAGGGGCTGGAAGACCAGCTGTTGAGTGTTATCATGGGGTTTGAGAAGAAGGAGCTAGAGGAGCAGCGAGAGTGTTTAATCCAAGAGACAAGTAACAACAAGAAGCTGCTTAAAAACCTCGGAGACACCTTGCTCAGAGAGCTGGCCACATCTACAGGCAACATGTTGGACAACACAGAGCTCATTGAAACACTGGAGAAGACGAAGCTGAAAGCCAGTGAGGTCGGTATTAGCTTATGCATAAAGAGTAAAAGTTGTGGCAGAATATTATTTAACTGAAGTCACAAATCCCAGTTTGTTTGTTTCTTCATGTTTGATATTGTGATCATCAGGTATTTGAGAAACTAAAGTTGGCTGAGAAGACGTCCAAGGACATTGATAAACTTAGAGATGGCTACCGTCCTGCAGCCAAGCGTGGCGCTATCCTGTTCTTCGTGCTGACAGAAATGGCTGTGGTGAACAGCATGTACCAGTACTCACTTGCCTCCTACCTCGAAGTGTTTGACTTTTCACTGCGGAAATCAGTGCCAGACCCCTCCCTTCCCAACAGACTAAAGAACATCATGAACACTTTGACATACAGCGTTTATAACTATGGCTGCACAGGTAAAATATTTAAGGTGGAATAATAGTGAACCATGTGAGGGGCAGGAAAAAAGTCTGTTTCTAAAGGAATTTATAATTATTTTGTAGATTTTATAACCCTAACTGAGTTCTTATCCCCAGGATTGTTTGAAAGCCACAAGTTGCTCTTTTCCTTTAACATGACCATCAAGATCGAGCAGGCAGAAGGGAGGGTACCTCAGGAGGAGTTGGAGTTCTTTATAAAAGGTGAGCTATTCAGAGAAGTACAATATAAGTACATACAATAGTGATCAACTATGCACACGAAAACACAATGTTCAAAGCACATTTCCATCTCGTGTATAAAGGTAATCTATCCCTGGAAAAAAGCCAGCGCAAAAAGCCGTGTGATTGGCTTGCCAATCAGGGCTGGGAAGACATTGTGAAACTTGCAGAGCTCTTTCCCGAACAGTTCAGCTCTCTGCCTGATGACATCGAGAAACATCCCACTGAATGGCAATCTGTAAGTGGCCACAGGGACAGAACTCACTACAGGCATACCTCTGAATCAACTGTGAGTGTAACTCACACTCTTTTTCTCTTCAGTGGTACGACTTGGATGGACCAGAACAGGCTCCGTTTCCCATGAAATACAAGGGGAACCTGTCAGCCTTTCAGAAGCTGCTGTTGCTGCGCTGCTTCCGGGTTGATAGAGTCTATAGAGCTGTCACTGACTATATCACTGTTATCATGGGAGAGAGGTGAAACTTTTTGTACTGTAATTTTTCATTTTTTGACTATCCTTACTCTGGGGGAAGTAGACTGAAAAACAACAAAATCATTTATATCAAATCAGTATTTGGTGTGAACTCTTCACCCATAAAAACACCAGCTTTTACAATTTTGTTTAGTTGTTTAAGGTACCTGGCAGGTAGTTTTTCTTTTAGCTCCTACGAGAAGAGATTTTTAGGAGAGCTCAGTGCAGGGTGACACTTTGTACTTCTTGTTTCCCTGGATGGATGTCTGAGATCGCTGAGTTTTAGTCACACATGTCTTTGATAACACATGGCTAAGAATCTAAAGAGCTGCAGTAAAGTTGCTAAAACTTTTGCACATTGTGTATACAGTATATACAGTCTGTACATATAATCCACTCCTGTGAACAAAGTATAGATGACTGTGTGAATATTGAAACATTCTGCGCTTACAGATGTTTTTTATTGTATTTCTGCTCAGATATGTTCAACCCCCTGTGATCAGCTTTGATGCAATTTATGATCAGAGCACACCTTTCTCCCCCATTGTCTTCATCTTGAGCCCTGGCTCTGACCCAGCCGGTGACCTCATGAAACTAGCAGCCAGATCAGGCTTTGGAGGCAAGTTCAAGTTCCTTGCAATGGGCCAAGGCCAAGAGAAGGTACTCAATACTTTTTCTCCTATATCACGGCATATCTATATGAATATAGGGATTACCAAGTAATCACATTGAATAATATTAAAAAGGGATGAAGTTGAAAATAATTGTTTTCTGTACCCGGGGTAAAGGTGGCACTAGATTTATTGGAGAAAGCAGCCTCTCGAGGTCAGTGGCTGATGCTACAGAACTGCCACCTGCTGGTAAAGTGGCTGAAGGAACTGGAAAAGGCCTTAGAGAGAATCACCAAGCCCAACCCTAACTTCCGCTTATGGATCACCACCAACCCCATTAAAGATTTTCCCATTGGCATACTTCAGAAATCTCTAAAGGTGAAACACACATTCTCTTTACCTTCAGTAAAGACTTTTTGTAGATGTTTGTAAGTGGAAGGACTTCCTCACATTGGTGCTGTATTTGAATGGTTTTAACTGGGAATATGACATAACTCCATTTCCAGTAAAGTAAGGTGACAAAACAGTTACACATTCCCTTTACATGTCAACTATCTTTTATAGAAATTGGTGTTTCATGGCAGACGAGACTGCATTAAGAACCTATTAACATGTTAATAGTAGAATATTCTATTGTACTGGAAAAAGAAGTCTTAAAGGACTGCTTCTAGGAAGCAGAAATGCTTCAGAAGTAACAGATGGTATGACAGTATTCCTTCATTGTTGTGTGCAGGTAGTGACAGAGCCCCCCAACGGCCTCAAGCTTAACATGAGAGCCACATACTCTAAAATCTCCCATGAGGCCTTGACCACATGCCCGCACCCTGCTTTCTCCAGCCTGGTGTTTGTTCTTGCCTTCTTCCATGCTGTGGTGCAAGAGAGACGGAAATATGGAAAAATTGGCTGGAATGTCCCATACGACTTCAGCGAGTCTGACTTTTCTGTAAGTTGCACATTAGTCTAAGATTATTTTGAAAGTATGTTTACACTACCGGTCAAATGTTTTAGAACACCCCAATTTTTCCATTTTCTTGAAAATTATGCAGTTTAATGTCTCATTGAACTCTGATATAAAAGAATAGTACAAATAAGGAACTGGAGTTAAAAAAGAAATCATGGAATCAGTTTATAGACAATATGTATGTATTCTAAACTTTTGACTCATCTAAGTCGCCACCTTTGGCAGATATAGCAGCTGAACACACCTTTCTTTCTACAATAAAAATCAAATATTCTTCAGAAAGTTCTCCCCATATCTGTTGCAGACTTGATGCAGAACAACTTTAAATTGTTAACCCATTTTATGTTCCCTGAAAAAGGCCTTTTTGTATAATTCTAAAATATACATTATTTTTCAAATTTTAGTCACCTTACCTTACCTTTTTTTGTTTTGTTTTGTTTTGTTAATTACCTCTGGCAGTTCACTTTGTACCATTTCAAGCTATTCATTGAACTTGAATGACTTGAGTTGCAATAAATAACTGGAAGAACTAGGTTGCTCTAAAACCTTTGACCGGTATATTTTAAATTAGTCTATGAGTGGTATAATATTTGCTGTATTTCACTTTTCAGTAGTTTAAACATATTATCTGTGCTCTGACAGGTGTGTATGGAGATCCTGAACACCTATCTGACAAAAGCTCATGACCAAGGAGACATCAATATACCCTGGGGAAGTCTTAAATATCTTACTGGGGAGGTTAGGCTAAAATGAATTCGTTTATATTGTACATTTGAATAGTGTGCATCTGTTATACTACTACTACATGCTGTAAGTTTGCTGTAATTTATAATGTTTTGTCAGGTAATGTATGGCGGCCGAGCAATAGATAGCTTTGACCGCAGGATCTTGACTGTCTACATGGATGAGTACTTTGGAGACTTCCTCTTCTACACTTTCCGGCAGTTCCACTTCTTCAAAAACAAAGATGTAGATTACAAAATCCCTCCAACTGGACCAAAAAACGTCTATGTTGGTCAGCAGTTGTTTTCTTATTTCTCAAATTCTCTCACTCATAAAAAAGGGAGGGGGGGAATTTTCAGTCATCATTTAATGCTTTATGCTCTTAATGTGCTACAGATGAGATTGAAGCCATGCCACTGGCAAACACACCAGAGGTTATGGGTCTCCATTCCAACGCGGAGATAGGATACTACACAAATGCAGTTAAGGAGATGTGGACTCACCTGATAGACCTTCAACCTCAGACGGGTATGATTTCGCATCTTTCAGCTCATCCCTTGAAGTAATATATCCTGTTTTTCAGAAGTAGAAGCATTTATTTATTTCCATATGCTTTCTTCTTAGTGGCTGATAAATACTCTCTCATATCTCAGGTGAATCTGGTGGACAGATCAGCAGGGATGAGTACATCAGCCAGGTGGCCCAGGACATTCAGAACAAGCTCCCGCAGTTATTCGACATGGATGTGATCCGGAAAAAGTTTGGCATGGACATTTCTCCGACCTCGGTGGTTCTCCTTCAGGAACTAGAGCGCTTTAACAAACTGGTGGTCCGCATGCAGCTCTCTCTGGCTGAGCTGCAGAGGGTGAGATGGAGGGGCTGAAGACCCAAGATGCTCAGTAAATTAATCTGCAGGTGTTGTATATTTGTGCTTTGCTCCGATTGGGATTTGTTTAGATTCTCTTGTGTCCTGTAGGCCTTGGCTGGTGAGGTGGGGATGAGCAGCGAGTTGGATGAGGTCGCTCGATCCCTTTTTAATGGTCACATTCCGGTCATTTGGAAGAAGCTGGCACCTGACACTCTTAAGTCTCTTGGTAACTGGATGTCCCATTTCAAAAGGCGATATGAGCAGTATAACTGTTGGGTAAGGATGACCCCATTTAATCTTTTTTCTTTAATAATTTTTCTACCATAACATTTTACAGTTAACAAATGACTCGTGCTTTGAATATACTTTCAAGTTGGTGTATTTTGTGCTCACCAGGTGAATGAGGGCGAGCCAAAAGTTATGTGGCTATCAGGACTACATATCCCTGAATCTTACCTCACTGCTCTGGTCCAAGCTGCGTGCAGGAAAAATGGGTGGCCTCTGGATCTCTCAACACTGTACTCAGAAGTTACCCATCATCAGAGTGAGGATGAAGTCGCCGAAAGACCCAGACAGGGTAATAATCAGAGCTCATCACTTGCAGCATGAGCAGCGAGTAGTTGTAAAGACTGACAGTCTCATTCCCTGCAGGTTGCTTTCTGTCCGGCCTGTATCTGGAAGGAGCCGACTGGGACATAGAGAAGTGCTGCTTAGTGAAGAGTAAACCAAAAGTTTTGATCGTTGAACTGCCCATCCTCAGAGTCATTCCCATAGAGACGCGCCGCCTCAGGCTACAGGTGTGGACAGCAAGCACAACAGACCTCCACACTAATTTATAGCTCATTATTGAATGCATCTATTTAACTATATTTTTGTGTGTTTTGCACCTCAGAATACGCTGCGGACACCTGTCTACACCACTTCGTTGCGGAGGAATGCAATGGGTGTGGGCTTGGTGTTTGAGGCAGACCTGTTCACCACCATGCACCTTTCTCATTGGGTACTCCAGGGAGTCTGCTTGTGCCTCAACACTGACTAAAGACAACTGTCAACGCCACTGAGCTGATTACTTGTAGCATAGTCAGCTGAAAATGTTAGTTAAAGATAGCAATGTCTGCTTCCTGCTTCATGTAGAAAAATACTTAAACATAGCCTGTGTAATACATTTTATTTTATTGTTGTTTTATAACTTTAATTATTTGCCTCACTAGATGGCAGCACATAACAGAGGCAGTAGCTTCAGGCTGATCAACATCTCTAGGGATTTGTCTTTGAAGCTACGGTTGACTAATCTGCTGAAATGTTAAGGCTGTGAATGAATAAATAAATGGTTTTTACTTGTGTCGTGTAGGCTCAGAATCCCATTCATGCTCTTAGAGGTCAGCAGATGCAAAATATTTCTGCTGATTTTGTAAAAAAAAAAAAAAATCATAAACTGCTGCGTGCAGTGGAAACTTTAACAGTAACCAGAGGCAACCCCAAGCAACTTTTTAGCTTTTCTCTGCAGTATAGGTAACAGGGCATGTTTTATTACATCATGCAAAGAGAAGATCTTGCACAGCAGTGAGTAATCGAGGCTGCTGATGTGAGCATGCCAGCTCAGGTGAAGTAACCTCTAAAAACTCAGACGGTCCTAGAGGATGTGGCAGCTGCTGCAACAGTGACGTTGCAGGTGCAGAAATAAAACTTGCAACAGTTTGGAGCCATAACTCACGCAGTATACATCGTGAAGCCCCAGTTATGAGAGTGGAGCTGTAATCATAGTAAGTCTAAATTGCTTAGAGTGAAGTCTTTATAAGCCAAACAACCAGCAGCATGAAATTGTTTTAGTTTCTTTAGTCTCTTCCCTGAAAAGTCCCAACCTGGTACACGATTACAATGTTTGTCATTATTCTGTAGCCTAAAAGAATCTCTCTAAATGGCAGAGGGGCAAAGGTTGAACAGGCCCCATTCTCACCTTCAACTGACACAAAAAGAGGGAAAACCAGGACATGTTTATGACCAAACACTGGGTGGGGGCAGGAGCAATTGTGTTTCCCTTTTTGAAAAGAGGGAATGAATGTTGTGTTGTGTTATTTAATGAAACTTTACATCACTGGATGGAACTTTAGTAAAAGCAGACCTAAACAAACAATGGGCAATCTGGCTGTTTAACTTTGTACAATAAAGGGGAGGGAAATCATAAAAGTCAGAGTAACGACAGATAAAGAAAAAAAAAAGAAGAAAATTCTCTCACTGGCACTGAACCCAGCTCGCTTCCTTAGAGGTCAAAATTATTTTCAGCTGCTCATGACTGCAGGGATTTACATTAACCCTAAACTGCTCTAGTTCCTGCTTGGCACCATTGTTTGCCCTGAGTGGCCTCGTAAAAGCGCCAAGGGTGCCCAGGAACAAATCCCCTCCCATGTGTGGTGATTGGGAGCAGGTGGGCTCATTAAGACCCAGTAAAGTCAATGCACTGTTTTCCCCATTCTCCCTGTGGCATAGTGAGGAACAGGAATTAATCCCAGTCCTCTTCCGTGACTGTGAAAGTGTTAACATTATCTTTCAGTAGTTAAGAACTTTGCACAAAAAAGGTTAGATAAGCACATTTTGCTGCCTGCAGCATCGTTTGCAGCTGGCCAGACTTAAGCCCAAGGGCTGCAGTCACCACAGTCACAGACATATATACAACTCGTGTCCTAGTTTTTGGTTGCAGTGCCAGGTGTTTACTTTGGAGAAGGACCGCAGATCTGTGGCTACTGGCTGTCCCAGATGCAATGGGCAGTGGGAAATGACACTAACCTCAGTTTTCTCTGACCACTGGGTACTGATGGCTTTGACAGACTACACCTGCTGAAAACAACTCAGGGGCAAACATAGATAGATAGATAGATAGATAGATAGATAGATAGATAGATAGATAGATAGATGTTGTTGATGATGTTATAAATAGTTTAAACTAACTGCGTTATATTTTAAATGAAGATGGTTGTTTGTTTGTATTCAAAATGTTCAAAAAAAGGTTTATAAAAGAAGTAATTAGCCTTAGCTGGGAGTTTAAACTCGTCATATCCAGTATTATCAAAACTTTTCGTTTCTTTTCTTTAAACATTCCGTTTTATTTGGTTTAAATGGGGGCCTAACTCTCACTAGCACCGCGCCTGTGATTTCAGAGGAGCCTTGAGAATCAGCAGCCCATAATTCATTTAGTGCAAACAGTACAATGCGTTAAGTGCCGTCGCTTTGTCCTCTGTGAGAAGTTGAAACGGGGCAGGGTAAAAAGAGACCCAGCAGGCTGTGCTTTTAAAAGACCGGAGGAGACTATAAAACTGGTTTCATACCCGCTGCTGTAAAGGATCGGCACGATATGAGCGCAGACAGACGGAGGTAGGCAGAGCACACTCAGGGAAGGGAGGACAGCACGCATTTAACACTCAGAGCATTCATGGTTCATTTTTATAAAGTCGGATCTCTGTCACAGACAAGCGTGGGTTTATGGGCTAGTTCACACTCAGCTCTATTACACATACATCGGGGTTTTTTTTTTTGTGTGTTTTCTACTTTAGTGAAAAGGATGAGCGTCTTCTCCAGTAGAGCCGGCGCAGTTTGACACGTTTCCCGAGCTGGAAGCGGTCTGTTTTCCAAGCGGGGCCTCATTAAAACAGTTCTGCTCTTACTTTTGATGCCACGGAAATGGGATCGCACCAACGAGAGAGCGTGTCCCCGCTTTGCAGGAAAAGTTTGCTTTGGACAGTGCTGATACTCTGGCTGAGCACGCTGGTTAACGGGACCTGGAAGACGGGACTTTACAAAACCTATTCAGTCGGGACGCAGCTGAACAGAGACCAGACAGCAGCCACCCACAGCTCAGTCTACCAGAAAAGGTGAGGAAAGTACGCACAGCTGTCATATTGCACACAGAATAATTATATTAAGTTTTGTTTTCTATGTTCCTGTCACTGCATGCCTCCACGGATGTACTCCCATCTCCATCCATCTACCGGGCGCTATTGTCTTCCTGACAGTTGGTTTCCCTTTTCCTGTGCTGGCAGGCAGCATGTTTTTACTCTGCTGAGTCCCATCCACACTCTTGTCCCAGCTCACACACCTCTGCTGCCCCTGTGGCGTGTTATATGCTCTCTATCCATGCAGCGCCTTTAGCCTCACACACAAAGCCCGCTCTTTTCAGCATCCCAAGGGTGAAGATTTAAAAAAAAAAAGAGTGTTAAACCCTTAGTTTAAGGAGTTATTGATTATTTGTATCTCTATAATAAAGCGTGAAAACGTTTATCTTAAAGGATCACTGAATGAAAAGGGGGATAATAAGGCTTCAGAAAATGATGGATCTTCTGTGTAAGGGCAATCGAGTTGACAAGGGTGTTGAAAGAGAGTCACCAGACTAAACACGAAGGCAGGAGGGCTAACCGGCTCTGCTTTCCTCTTGGACAGAGCCAAGTTTAGTTGGAGACTAGCCACTGATTAATGATGAGAGGACGTTTCCCCATCTTGCAAATATTTATGCTGTCAGCTTGTGTGTGTGGGCTGAACGTGGCCGGAGGCTGAAATCCCTTCTCTCTGATGAGGTCTTCTGGGTGTGTTCAGGTGGTTTTCAGCGCCCCTTCGGTAACTCCACTGCCTCACTTCTCTGCTCAGCTCCCCCTGCCACTCAGAGCCAGAGGTTCCTGGACATGTTTGCAAAACACAAGCAGCTGGGACTCCAGTGCAATCTGAGCTTGTTTTTTGGGGAAAAAAAGCAGAGGGGGATGAGTTTACAGTCAGTTTGCTGCTGTTAGTGTAAGTGGCCGTGCAGGAAAGGCAGGACTGAAAGAGGGAAAGCTGCTGTTGGCATGAGTCAACCACCTTGTTCAGAGGTCACCGGGTTTGCGGTGACATGAGAGGAGCTGAAAGTCTCCAACACGTCCACCTGCTGGCTGGCTGGCCTGATCGGTGAAAGCAGCAGTTTATTGGGTGTCAACAAACAGTAACAGCGGCGGTGTGATTTCAGAGATCAACCTCGATGATGAAAGCAACCTGTCATTAGGGTTCAGGTGCTTAAAAGGAAACGCATATGACTGCTAGTGCACTGGGAAAGGGAAACCTTCACTAATACCAGCACTGTCTTCACACAGTGATTAGCACAATCAAAGGGGATTAACATCTTGTGGGTATTTTCTTTGCTGGTGCAGTCACTCTGTGAAAGAGCTGATAAAGCATTCCTTCACCATCTCTCTTAATGACTGCATAGCTCGGTAAACTGTGGGGTCACTGAGGGAGATGCTTCTTTAGTCCCTGTCTCGCCCAGTTCTTTATCCTCCCTCGGAGGACTTGTCATGGTCTGACAGGCAGTCTGAGCCCTGTGGCAGTCCTCATTCCTCGTCCATCTTGACCATATCCATGTTCACTTTAAGCATGGGAATGAAGACAACTGAGATTCCAGGAAGCTGCATGGCTTCAAGCAGAATGGCTGTGAAACTTCAAATGATGTATATGCACAGGGAACCATTATTTGGATGGATGTCAAGAGGCAGTCACCAATTGTTCAGCTCCAATAATATCCACTGGCCGCTGATTACATTACTCAATTGAATTTGTTGCCTTTTTCTGTATTACATCACTGTCTTATCTTCTGTTTTTGGACGTGTCACTGGACAAAATATGAGATTCTTAAGACAGGATCTTGAACTCTTTGCTTCACGATTTACAGATTTTCATGTGTAATATCAGTCTTAAAACAAAGAACTAATTGTGGCAGCTCATCCTCCACAATGAGAAAAAAAATTGTTGGATTCCTGCTTATCAGATTGAATATTTGCTCATTTCTGTGGTTGCAGTCTGAGTTGCTTCAGTTTTTGGACAAAACAAGACATTGATGTCATAACTTTGAGCCGATTTTGTTTCCCGATGTCTTAGAGATTTGATACTTAGTATGAGCCTAATACCAGACCCCATATTGCATCCTGTGCACTGCAGGTGAGCAGTCCATAAAGTCAGCATCTCATTCACGGTCAGTGGAGCAGCTCAGCTCGACATGATGGTCCATTCACGCTGAGCAGTCAGGATACGTGGCGCTATAGGTGTGGTATGAGTGAATCCTTCATTTGAGTGGAATTCCTCTTTCACTTCCAGGTTCAAACACTTGAAGATGCCACAGACTGAAAGCTCACAGGTGTCTGCACCTGAAAGCTCAAAGGAGACAAAGATAGATTAGAGCTTTCCTTGTTTATTCCATGCTGCTGTAAGGAGTCACTTAGCCCTGACCTTTAAGGCCTCACTTCGGTGCTTTGATGCTCGTCACTGTCCGCTGCGCATGGAAAGCCCGCGGCAGCTTTGAACCTGCAATATAATACCCCAGCAGCCGTAATGCTCTGAATTAATGTATAACAATTGTTCAAATACAAACTTAATACAACCTGTTTCTTTTGTTTGTCATTGAACCTGCAGGCCATGACTCTAGAGCAGCAAAGTTTTTTTTTATTTCACCTCGACTTGTTCTTGCTGTTTTCCTCTTTGTCATTGGTTGTGGTGCCATATTTATCTTATGTCTCCTCTCAATCCCACGGGAGCCACACTGCTTCATAATTGCCATCTCTGTCCCCACCGGAAGCTTCCTTGGATGACCTCTGCGATAAGTTGACCTTTGTCTCCTCTTTTCTCGTCTCCTTCCCGTCCTCTCCTTTGTCTGGCTATTTGCCACATCTGTCTTTTGTCCTTTGTTCTGCTCGAGTATTTTCCCACAGATAGAAATCCAGAGGAATTCCTTTTGCATTTCAAACATATCTCCGAACATTCAGGCCGGCTCCTACGATACGTGAATGAATGGGTGGAGGAAAGGGAGTTACTGTGGTGTTTTTAATCAGAGTCCCATCAGCGTTTTGCCCACATCAGCCTACTTGTCTGTTCACACGGCTTAACCCCTACCTTCTTCATCCCGGTGCAGTATGCTGAAGTAGGCGAACCGCCTCACTAGTGTGAACACGGGAAAATGTGGACTGCATAGCGTAAAAGGTGAATTGAGGGCACACGCGGTAACGACAGCGCAGCATATAAGCGAGTTCACAAGCTTTCTGTCAGCATTTGCATACATTTAAGGATTCAGCACTTTTTTTGTTCCCCTCCAATATTTTACTGTCTTGGCGTCGGCAGCGTCGAGGAACAGATGGGCCAAAGCTGTGATTTCTCTTAACGGTTGGCTGTGGCTACATGTGACTGTGAGACATGGTTGATGATTTATTTAGCTTGGGCCCAGCATTCAGAGTGTGCCATGTGTGCTTAGAGACCTGATACTCACTGAGGGCCTGCTTGGTGTTTTTGCCAATGAAACAGCATGGTGCTGGTGGGTTTCACACTTCATAGAACAAGGGTGCCTCCAGTAAGAGGAAGGTGTTGACTACAAAGCATTTGAGATTGAAAGACTAAATGCACTTAGAGCCTGCGTCCCTCATACGCATAGATAATAACACAGTTATTGTTAGGCCTCCCCAAATCTGCTTGCTGCAGTGGAAGTGTTTGTCTTGCTGCATCGCACTTGTTATATGTTATATGAATCGTCTGCTTTTGTTCTTTCACTCATTTAAGGAAGAAGAGTCGGCATTTCCTCCTCGGTAATTGCATAAGAGCAATGCAAAGAGACCATAAAATCCAGCGCCCCCTTCCCTCCTCGTACCCCCTGGTGAGACTCTTGTCCGTTCCCAGGTGAAGCCTCTTCTCGGCCTGGGAAACTCAGATGTTTATCTGTCGGGTCTGGCAGATAAGTGGTGGGGAGGAGTTGGGTTTACTACCCCCTCATCCCCTCCCCCTTCCTCCCAGCTCTACCTGACCACAGCTTCTTCAGTGTCTGAAATTTTCCACCAGTGATTAGAGCAATTTTTTCTGGACCAAGGGAAAGCAATCATAGGGTAATCATATAGATCCACCGTCATTCTAGTAGATGTATGGCTGATGGATACGCTATGATACACGAAGGGTGGGCCTGTGTTTGAATAACATGTGGCGGCAGAATTCCTTTCCCTATGATTAATTCAAATAATGTCTTACGTTTTGCTGCGGTTCCTTTGCTTTTTCCAGATGCGGTAAATAATGCAAAGTCCTTTCAGTCTGCAGGCTTAAATACTTGCTACATGAATGGAAACAATCAAGATCGCTCAATAATAAAAGAGACGTTGTCATGTGATAAGGGAAAGTCGCTGCAGCTGTAGACAAACATTTATCAGCGGTGCTCCCGCGCTCTGGCTCAGGTATGTGTGTGTGGCCACCACGACATGTGGGAACGGTTAATGGGAGCCGGTTCAGGGCTGCTTCGCATCCTCTCCCTTTGGCGGTTTTTCTTTAGTGTAAACTGTCTCTCGTGCACACAAACATATGGTCTCCCATATTGACAAACAGACTTTGGTGGGAACACCCACCCACTCTTGCACACGTTGGCAGCAGAACAAAAAAAAGTGTAGTTTCATGAGCTCCCTTCCTATGCATCTATTGATAATGTTGTAAACACAGGCTTTAGTAATTGTTTCCGTGCTCCTCTTACAGCCACATGAAGGTAATGAGGATGTCTGCACACATCATTCTTAATAAAACCATTCTGATAATGTGGTCGCTCGTCAGCCCGAGAGCGTTCTCTTCACATTAAAGCCAACAGTTGTGTGTTTTTTCCTGTTCTGATATGTAGCAGAGAGAGAAGAAAGCTAAAGGCTTTCTCTAAAATGTTTCTCATAGCGCCTGTGCTATCAAGAACAGATCTGCTCCCTTTAAAAGGGACACCAAGCTCTCGGTGAGGATTAAACTAAACCAATTAGCTCACAGTCTCTTCAGATGAATCACACTTCCTTTAATTTTAAGCAGTCTCACTGAGACATTGATAAAATTTCGCATTTTGCTTCTGGAGGTCGAACTCCTCTGAATGTAATAGCTGCAGAGCGTTCTCATCCTCACTATCAGATCTCAACCTCTGACCTTAGCATCGTCGATATCTCATCGCAGGCTCTCCTCAATGAGTTATGAAGGCCTTCCATTAAAGGGAGTGAACTCATGACCCAGCTTTAACCCATGCTTAAATACCTTCATCTTTGTATGAGACTTTGTCTTCCTCTTTATCCCCTCCTGAGGGACTTCTGCTCCTCCAAGGTCCTATACAAATGCATGCGTATTGATAGAGGAGAGACCCCTGTGCAAATACAACCCAGTCCTGCAAACTCTGTGGCTGATTAAAACCGAGTGAACACGGTGAGGAAGTTCCCAAACAAAGGAGTTGAGGGGGGGATGGAAGGACAGAATGACCGCAGTGTTTTTAGTGTGACAGCACTCGTTTGAAGGTGTTTTGGAAATTCGTTCTCCTGTGTTTAGTTTAAGAATCAGACTTTTTACTGAGTCTAAAAATAACAAACTGTTGAAATCCTGCTGTTGTTTTATTCTACATTTCTGACTCTGTTTCTTTCGGCAGGAACTGGTGTCCTCATACGGTCACTAAGACTGTGACCTGCCAGGTGCAGAATGGGACAATCCTCCAGCGGGTGTACCGGACATGCCCCTGGCCACAGGGATGTGCAGGAGGCAGGTGAGAAGGCAGAGGCAGTACTGCTACTGTTTCACAATCCTTTTACGAAACCTTTAAAAAACCAAAACATTTTTTAGTTCATGGGCCGCATACAGCACCGTATGATCTGAACTGGGTAGAAAAACTCTCATCATGAAATGTATTCAAGACGTGCAAGTTTCTGCTCAAAAATGTTCCAGTTCCCTGGAAGATAAACACTTTGAAAAGACATAGAGTGGGTCACATGGCTCTTTAGTGAGCCACATGTTTACAACTTTAAAAAGAAGAAAACAGTTGCCTGCTATCAAAGCAGAAAGCTTGGTGTAATGTTTATTTTCTGTTTTTTAATTATACTGGGATTAAAATCGCAGAATAGTTGTTGTTTGAATGCTGTTTGAATCACTTAGAGGATTAGCTTTAAAACTTGTTACTGGAGCTAATGCTCTATTAAAAATCATATTAAGTTCAATCATATTTGTGGGCAAACAAGTTAAACAAGCTTGCCACTTCAGTGTTGGTATGAGGCTAGCAGTGGTATTCATATAGCTCTCCTATATTTAACATAGTTCAGGATGCCACGCTGCTGCTCCATATGCTGTCTTTTAATTGAGATAAACCTAAAAGCTTTCATATAATCTGACACTTACTGATGGGGCACATTGCCTAGAAATTGCTTTTTATCATTTAATTGAGACTGTGCAAATACAAAGACTGAAAACCCCACGATAATATCTAACTTTACCAGAGAGAGGAGATTTCTTTTCATTTTCCTTTAAAAATGTTATGTGTGTGTGTGTGCGCGCACGCGTGTGTGTGTGTGTGCGCCCATGTGCGTAACGGCTTTTGATTTTGTGTTTATCGTTCAGCTACAAGACCGTGGTCAGACCTTCCTATAAAGTGGTGTACCGCACTGTGACTTCCCTGGAGTGGAAATGCTGCCCGGGATTCAGCGGCGCTGCTTGTGAAGAAGGTGAGTGAAGACAGAGGACGCAGACACACTTCAGTTATACAACAGCTGACGGAAATGAATCGAACAGAATCGCCATCTTGGACTGAAAACTCGTGTCAGTACCCCCCCACCGCCACTCACCTGCCTCCAGTTTCTTCTTTATGACTCTTTGACTCGCCACCATTCACGTCCCTCTGTTTTGCATCGCCGTCTTAAAGCCTGCATTTCCAATATGCTTGTATGAGTGATTTCCATTAGGCTTACATAAGGCTACTTCTGTTCTTTGAATGAAATTAAGAAATAAGATCCCCCAGCCTCTTCTGCGTGAGCCACATCCCACCTCTTTATTAATCACTTTTTATGTCTTCATTCCAAGAGTCGCCGCACCAGTAAGGCTTCCTTCTTTACTGCGACAGATTGAACTGAGTTTTTTATCCTCTAAAGAGCTATGCAAGCGCCGTTTACATTTTTAAACCACGGTAGCTGCTCACACACACACACACACACACACACACACGTACACACACTCCTAGTTCATAATGACTTCCCCTGGCACCCGTCCTCAGGTTTCTGCAGTCTGGGGAGAAGGGTGGAGTGATCTTTTTATGCTGGGACCCAGGACTTAATGGGTGTAACATAAATTAGTGGACCGTGCAGCACAAAGGGTTAATGCGATGGCCTTTTGTAGTGCCGAAAATAGAGGCTGTTTTTCTCTCTTATACTTTGAGACAAAAAAGGAGAATTTCTACCTGAAACTCAGTGAACTGAAAAAAGTGGGGTTTTTTTCAGACTGATTTTGGTAAACACTTGATCTTGTCCAATAAAGTGGGTTTAAAATAATCTGTTTAATTTATTTACTCAGTAAACGGCTAGTATTCCCACTTGAAGCAATTTGGTGATCACAGTATGCAACAGTGTTGGAATGCATTACAGTTCCTCCATTCAGAAGTCAGAAAACAACACACTTGACCTCAGTTCAGATGGGAAACAAAGCAGCGGCAGTCTTCTTTTGAGGAGCATAGATTAGTAAAGGAACATCGCGATGGTAAACTGCCGGCTCTAGTTTATGTTTTTCTCATCAGGAGAGGAATTTGTGCAGATATGGGGTATAAGCGGGCTGTAATGTTACTTTATTAATTACATGACAATAACTGTGTAATATAATGTTGAAGTAATTTAAGAAGTAGGCAGAAAATTATTTTCTACAGGGAGTTAATAGGTAATGCATTTGTTGTAGTAACTGTAGTAACTAATGACTGCTCCCAGGTGCTTTCAGACCTCCAAGTGGCCTCTAGTCTGCTGTAGTGTGGCTTCGGCTGCTTGCTTGCACTTGCACACCCCAGCCCTCCTTGGATATCGCACTTGTTTCACACCCTCCCTACTGTCAAAGTCAAAAAACACATTCACAGTCAGACAACGCAGACTTTACCCAACAAAGGCAGAGGAACACACAGTGAAACGGGGAGGAAATTATCCAATTAAGTTGTTGCTGGAGGAGATTCCCCTCCGGTTGTCATGGCAGTAGGGGGCTGTCGAGCCGACGGGGATGTCAGGATTAGCCACTTATCTGAGCCTCGTTCCGGGTGGCTCAGATCACAGGCGGCGCTGAGTGGAAGTGACAGGTCCCATTCACAGGGCCTTTACTCTCCGGCACCATGGATCCTATCCAGGGCCACCAGTGCTTTGTTCTGCTCTTGCCGCGTGAGCAGAACCCCTTGCCAGCACAGAACCTGATACCCCGCTGCCGTCTGCCTCGTCCGCCCGCTCTAAGGAGAAATGCAAGCCTGCCACACGGGCAAAGCTGGTGACCGGATTGTGCTTAAAGCTGTTGCCACAGTGTTGCCAAGTGAAGTTAAAGCTGCACTAATAATTCAGTAGGTGCACGTTTCAAATCCAGGCTGTTAATACCTGCGTGCGGCTCTGTTTCCAGATGGCTGTGAGCACTTTTTAACTTTTAGTTGGACTGAGTTGAAAGACTCAGGCTTTAAAAAAACAACTCTAGGAAAACATACTACTTTTGATCTTATTTGAGTCGCATAAAGAGCAACCAGGATGTATATACCTTTAAGGATCACTTTTGGAATTTTATTATTTGCTATACATCACTCTTACTCCTCTGCTTGTCTGCTTTTCACAGACTGTGGAAAATGTGTGTGATCCGCTCATTTACTGCCCTGCTTTTAACCTTCTTTTCCCACCAGGCCACCCCAAAAAGCCTCTAGCCATGTCTGACTCCCAAGGACGGTCTGCATTACTGCAGATCTCAACAATGTCCAAACCAAAAAGACTGGGGCTGGGGCTACGTTTAGGTTGAGATGCAGGAAAGTACAACAAACACTGAGAGGAATGTGACCGATATGATTGTGCTTTAAATAGGGATGAGAGAGTTGTTTTCTCTTGTGTTCCTCTGTTCTCACCCCTTGGCCTGCCAGCTGATAGGTCAACATGTATAAATCAACGGCTCGGTCCGTAGTGAAGATAACGAATTAAGTTTTGGACTTTGCGTGTTCAAATCTACAGGCGCAAATAAATGAGAGTTCATTAAGGGAAGAGATCATGCATGCTGTCATCGAGTCATACGCAGGCTTATGAGGATTTTTGGCATGTCGCATTAGGAGGCTCCAAAAGCAAAGCATTACATCACACCCATACGGATACACAAACGTACCCCATCAGAGTCCAGGCAGGGTAAGATAACACTGCATTAGACAGGCACCTTTCACATTTGCTGTCTTTTTCTTCCTTCCTCACCCCAACCTCAGGACTTGGCTTGAATACCGGTCCAATGGTGTAATTACTGGGTCCTAATTGTTTTCTGTGAGGTATGGGAGATATTGTCTTACTTCTTGGTCTGGAACACAATGGTCTTTATCTCTGATTGAGTTTGAGAAAGAAAAAAGAAAAAGAAGACTAAGTATTTACAGATGTAGGCACTTTCATAGGCTGCCAGAAACGGGGATTTAATGTATGCCTGGTTGGCTTTGGCATTCCAAGTAAGTAAATGCTTGTTTTTAGTTGGGATATCCCAACATATGCTACATCAAGCACAAATATCAAAATTATACCTAATTTAGAGGCAATTATGTGGTATTAGAATATCAAATTTACCCCTCAAAAGTAATATTATTACATTAGCTCTGGCTCTAATGTAATAATTATCTGAAATGCTAGTGTTGCACTGATACCACGAGGGGTGACTGTGCACTCAGGAGCCATGGATGTAAAATTCATTGACATTTTGAGCTTTTGGTCTCGATCTGCTAATTTTGATGGAGCCTGAAAAGTGTGGAAATGACACTAAGAGACAGGCGTTGATATACTGACCCTGATTTGATTTATTGAGGAAAGGCCTTAAAACAAAAAATAGCTGTGGCTTATCGCAGGGGGGAGGCCGCTGAGGAGCACAGCATATGGGGGAATGTAGACTTGAATTAGCACGGCTGTCAAAGCTCTGCCACGGGGGTCCCCATCAAACAGTATCTCGCAGCCAAGCGGAGGCTGTGGTTTTTGGGTTGCAATTATGAGGTGGCTGGGAGGCAGAAGCCCGCTGTCTCGTAATAAGCCATAGAAATGTAATCTGTGTTTTCACAGCTCAGGGCGGCTTATCACAAGCCCGCACGCTAAACCCCGTGCTTTAAACATCAGTCGGCTGCAGCTTGCCATTAGCAGAGGAAGAGTGGGAGTGCGTGGATGCCGGTGTATGCGTCTATCTGCCTGCCAGAGTCAACGTGTGGGTGGGAGAGCGAGGCGTTGAGGATTTGTATGCAGCTGTTTGCTGTGATTAGCAGCTTTAATGGCAGCAGGCTTTTTGGAGCTGTGAGTGTAGGGACTTCAGCCTGAGGTCAGAGGGGAGGAGGCTGAGCAAGAGCAGGTGACCAAAAGGCCCCCCACCACCAGCACTATCACCCCACACACTCCCACTCCTGTTAGACCACACAGTGGAGCGCTATCAAAGTCATATCAAGCAGAGATCCCCTGCGTTCGCCTTAGCAGGTGTTACACATGTTATCCTTTATTTGCTCCAGTTCATTCACAAAAAAAGGAAAAATCCCAGACTTGATGTCAGATTTAGCTGCACTCACCCCCGCATCAGCGTTTATGCACTCAGCAGATGAGCTCTACGAAGACGCATGAATCACTTGAATGTAGCGAGGCAGGCTGCAGTCAACGTGCAGAAAAGGCCACAGCAGCTGACATTCGCTGTTATGTAAATGACCAGCACACAAGTGCTGAGCATAAATTGGAAGCAGCTGACATTAAGGCAAACTGGGCTGAGGCTTCCAGATGAGATTCGGCATCCAGCCCCTTTCAGCCGACACTGCTCGGCTCTGAGGAATTATCATAAAAGTGATTAAGTAGAAAGAAAAACACAATCATTAGCTTGCTTTGTATTATCTGTATGTGATTAATAGTAACAACTCTTTGGCTGCTGTTTTAAGAACTGGCCAGATGAAAATTAGCCCACAAGTATGGCTCATTTACAGTTATTTTTCTGTTGATTAATGAGCATGTATACCTTTTAAGCAAACACATATATACCTGCAAAAATGACCAATCAGCCAACTTAAATAACAAAACCAAACAGAGTAGGAAGGTCTTTTTTCTTTCCTCACGTCCTGCCTGTCTTTCCTTCCATGCTGTCTTCTCCTTATGTAACGGTGTGCTGGTATTTGCTCAAGGTTTGTGGGGGAAAAAATCCAGAAAATTATAGTTAAATCAGTTGCGGGGTTCAGTAGTTAAACCGGAATATGCACTGATAATTTTGATAATATTATTACAGCTTATTTTTTAAATGTTCCATGAAAACCACCCTCGGAACACACACACACACACACACACACACACACACACACACACACACACACACACACACACACACAATACAACAAAATGCTTTCAGGCTGTAACAATAATAGTCATGAGAATTATAATTATAAATTCCTATGCTCTTGTTGGTTTTTTTTCCTCTGCATACAAAAAAGTTTCGATACAAGGCGAAAAAGACAAGCACACAATGGCAG